AACTGTCGACCCCATTCAACTCTTTTATGAAACATATACGCTAAGTCATATATATCATGGCATTGTCACATCTTTGGTTATATCACAATTGTAAATCAAACATATGAATGGTATGAAAACTATATATAGATATATATACATATGAAGGGGCGTCTGTATAGTGATACTTACGTCCCATATACGCAGTTTCGAGTAATTGATAACGTAATACGCCATAACATAATGAACTTGATTCTCCGGAGGATAAACAGGTTCGATGTCGCGGAGAATGCATCCTTGGGCGATCAAGATCTGCCTGTGTTCTTGAGGAACATCAGGCAAGACAGCCACGACAAGAGGGTAAGCACTTCCGACTTTACGCAAACCCTTTGCTAATCCGACCACTCCCTTCACATAGTCGCCGTTACCCGCTAAAAACGTCACGTAGGCTCTCCCCGGAGGCGATTTCTTCGCCTTCACGGCGGGTTCGGAGTTCACGCTCTCGGGGATATGAGGTGCCATTCTTTGAGCCTAAGTGTAGAAGAAGTATTGAGTTGGTTTTAGGGGAGATGTTGAAAGGTTTGAGTGTTTGGCAAGAAAATTAGTTCTCAAGGTTTCATTATATAGAGCTAGGGATGATGGATCATCACTATGGTGTACGTTTCGGGTTTTGATTCAGTATTTGTCAAGCCTGGTTCAAGGATGGTTTATTCGATTCCATAAAATTATATCAAACTATAATTTGTCGGTAACATTCGATTTGAGTTTGGTTTAGAAATTTTTTATGAGTACCAAACAAAAACCGGAATTTGATATTCACACGTACATTTAAACATAAGAGTGGATAATTCGCATTTTGATTCGGTAATTATCGATTTAATTCGGAAAATGGTATATTCAATCCTATAAAAATCATATCTATTCGGTTCGCGGTTGGGATTGATTCATCAAAGCTAAATTCCCAAAGAGAAGCACGCACCACTTGAATTAGAATTTACATCTCTCTCTTATATATATGTATATATATTATAATAAAGTATATAATTTCCAACATTTAGGGATAAAAAGATGTACAAGTTGAAGGTCAACTTTCAATTTTTTTTTCCAGTTTATATTTTTGTTACAAGTGCGAGGACACACGTTACACACCGTGATGCCCACTCTTGCCATTTTGCCAATTCGACTTTTACTGTGTCTTAAGAGATTCAAGACCTTGTCCTTCCATTTTCTTCACCTTTTGTGTTTTTTTTTTTCCATTAACGAGGAATCTTCAGGTGAAACCTGGTCTTAAGGTGACCCTTTCCATCTTCTGTGTTTTTTTTTTCAACTTTGGTTTTTTTAATAGGAGGTTGTCTTATTAAAGTCGTTCCAATCTAATTGGAGAAAAGCTTTGAGTGTTTCCTTTTTGTTTTTAAGTGAAGGGGACATCTTATGGGTGAAGCTTAGTCTTCCTTCAATTTCTAGAAAATATTGCATAAAATTTAGAAAAAAAATCATATACAAGTAATTATCACAACTTTTAAAAATGTGTCTAATAAGTATTTAAATTTATAATTTGATATAAATGAACATATGCTCTAGATTGATATCATGAAATCGATATTAATTCTCATTTTTTTTATATAATATATGAATGGTTTATATAAATAAATTCTCAAAAATGGTGGAGAGTGTTTTTCTAAAAATGAATCCATAATATTCACAACAACCTATCGGAAAATTTCAATAGTTCCTTTGGTTTTATGATTCAAGGTTAAAAATTGCCATTGATTTCATAAGTTGCGGCATAAATTTAGAACATTTGAGATACCAATTACACAAATTAAATGTTCTGTTATTTATTTCACATATTTTAGAAAATCGGGGTATTTACATCAAATTTTTGTGAAAGGTAGGAAAAAATTACGTAATACAATTTTTACATATACACTCCATAATTTGTAATAACATCATATAAATATACATATAAATGCTCTAAAGTAGATCACCTTACACTTGGTTCAATAAAAGGAGGGATTTTAATTTTGGGTCGAGAACAGTAGGACGAAAAAATCAACGAGGTAGAAGAATCACTACATTGCCACCGGTGGATACTCTGTTTTTGTTTTTTAGGATTTAGATATATGGAGAGAAGAAGAGGAGATGGAGGACGGGATCCCGTCTCTGTGTACCTATTCATAGAAGATATACATTGAAGTTGTTTCCTCTTCCTATTACCCAATTAAAGAATTAACACCGCATTCTCTTTCCCCCAAAGCAAGGGTCTTTTAAGCAAATTATCCTTCTGCGTAAAATAAAGGAAAACATTATTCATGACAAAACTTACAACATTTCTTGCACACAATTCTTTTTCTTTAAAAAAAAAAACAGTACTTGCAAGTGATTGTGTAAAATTCATCAATTTTTCTACCAAAATCACCACAATGCGGGTTTCGCATCATTTTTTCATCTATTCTAAAGTAATGGATCATTTCTTGTATAAACACACATGTATACCTATTATGCATAGAGCTTTCTTCAATAAATGCTTGTTTACTCGTAATCTACACGCATCTATTCGAATCGATAATGTATATATATGTCTAAATATGTATGGAAGTCCATTTTACAAATTCGCAATGTGGCCCTGAAGTGTCTCTCTTTAGGTAAACCGGTTTCTTTTAAAAAAGGAAAAAGAGGTCCGAAATGAAGATTCCAATGGTTAATTGTGAGGAACAACCTCAACTTTCAAGCAAAGTATTCCACAAACGATACCATGTTAAAATCGCAGTCAACTTGGGGATAAAAAAACACAAGAAGAAAAATAAAAATATATTATCTCAACAGGAAAAAAAAAAACCAAAATTATACTTCCCGATTTTTAAGTTAACTGAGGAAGAATATCACAATACCCCCTCCCTCTTCCTAATTAAAAAAAGAACTAGAAAACACTTGGTATAACAAACATAATATCAGTGACAGATTCCACGAAAGTAATCTCTTTTTTTTTTTTCAATAACAACGAAACGGAAAAAAAAAGATAAGAAATTACCCCCAAGTCCACCTGCTGCGTCAATAAATTTCTCGGACCCCTCAAAATCTCTGGTCGATCATCATATATGTATATATCCTCAGGCCTTCAAACAAAGAGGACCACCCAGAAAAAAAAAATGTTAATTTTTGTACTTACCATCCTTAAAGACTAACTAACCGGACCGGACCGGAACGAGATAATTCCCGGGTTTTTTTGGAAACGGTTTGCTTACTTTGTTAGCAATGTTGTTGGAGAGCCAGTCCAGACCCTCGTACAGTCCCTCACCAGTGGTAGCACATGTGCTCTGTATGTACCTTTTAAAAAGATTTTTTTTTTTTTTGCAAAATGAATGTGTCGATCATCATATGTTGAATATTATAACCGATATGCAGTGAAAAATGTTAAAGGAAATTCACCAGTGTCGCTGCCGCAGAGAGTGAAGGCCGAGCTTATCAGTTATCTCTGCAGCGTTCATTGCGTTTGGAAGATCTTGCTTGTTTGCAAATACCAACAGCACCGCATCACGTAGCTCATCCTTCATTCATACCCATCCATTTATCAGTTTCATTTATCAAATCTCATATGTTCTGACTCTTAAGCGAATAATCATCCTTGGAGAATAGGTGTTTCTTAATCATACTGACATAAAAATCTCATGGACCCAGTTTTTTTTATCTCTTCATATTCTTCCAAGGAAAGAAAATGAGGATTTAAATTGAGGAATAATTTACCTCGTTCAACATCCTGTGAAGTTCATCCCTTGCTTCAACAACACGGTCTCTGTCATTGCTATCCACCACAAATATCAAACCTTGTGTGTTTTGGAAGTAATGCCTCCACAAGGGACGTATCTACAAAAGAAAAGTTAGTTCAGTACCTTTTTTCCATTCGAGGAGTTTCATAAGAAAAAAAAACAGATAAGTCAAACCTTGTCCTGACCCCCAACATCCCAAACAGTGAAGCTGATGTTCTTGTATTCAACTGTCTCCACGTTGAACCCTGCCAAAGAATACTCATCAAGTCTAAGCATTTTGGACATTCACCCATATGTCATTCCTTGGGATTCATGGTAAGAAACTACTATATTGGTTCAAGTGGATTCAACTAGTGTAACATAAATTTTTATAAACGCGTATCCAATATCCTAGTTCAGCTTAAATGAGTTTCAGAGAGTATGCAACTCAATTTCACCTTCTTTATTAGCTTTGTGAAAAAGCTTTGTTAGAAAACCAGTGCATTACATACGATATTGAAACAAAACAACAAAATGATCCATGAAAGTGAACTAGAGAAGATATCGACAAGGTAAACGCATGCCCAGAAAATTATTAGCTAAAAAAAAAATCTAAACTTGATGCAATGAACCTGAGCAAAGCAATTGATCAGATAAGTTGAAGGCAGAAATGCAATGCAATAGTTCGGTCAGATCGATCTGGTTTTACGGACTTACCAATGGTAGGAATGGTGGTTACAATCTCACCAAGCTTGAGCTTGTACAAAATGGTCGTCTTACCAGCAGCATCAAGACCTACCATAAGGATGCGCATCTCCTTCTTGGCAAAAAGCCGGCTAAAAAGCTTCGCAAAAGAAAGCCCCATTTTCCTTCAGCTGGTGACCCTGAGATAACCAGAAGAAGACAGATCATGGACTATAAACATCTTTGTCAAGATTCATCAGATCTCACTCAAATTTTCTTCCTAACCCTCAATTCTTCCTGCACAAAGACTTGAAAGGATATTACCATACCAAAAAACCCAAAAGGTCAAAGAGATCAGAAGCAATCACATTAGAATATGCCAAATCATCCTAACATAAGAAATGATGAGTGAATGACCAAAACAAAGAGATCAGAAGCAATCACAATAGAAACTTATGATTACATACGCTAAGCTAAATTATAAAATTAAGGAATCAAATCGTAAATTATATCAGACAACCATCCATAGACAAAGAAATGATGAAATGATCAAAACAAAAGTTTCAAACAAAATGACCATTAGCATATTTCACGGCAAATCTTAACAGAAGATCAATAAACCGGCTTTCACCACCGAGTAACAAATTAAAAATAATAATAATAATCAAAACAGACAGTTACAGCGAACCAGATATAACTCGAGATATCGCCGACAGCCACCGATAAACATAATGATCAAACCAGATTCGACGCGCTACCAAAATTCAGTTCAGAAGCTTCAAGTTAGGAATTGGAAAACAAAAACCACAATATCCCTACAGGATCAGAAGTAATATACGAAATTCAGACAACATCCGAAGAAAACAAATCGCATTTTCAGTGAGATCGATGAACAAACCTAGCAAACTAGATTTGATCTCTTTGGAACAGGAAATCCAACATTACTCCTAATAAAACAACCACCAAAATCTCCATGCGATCGAAATTCAGAACCAGAAAAAAAAAATCAGAGAAAGGCTGGGGGATCTGGAAGGATGGACAATACCTTTCCAAACTGATGCGATGGGATCTCCCGCAGAGAGAAGCTTGAAATCAACGCGCAGACGCGAGGGCCGAAGTATGGCAACATGGCTCCATATAAAGGGCATTTTACTCATTTAACGTATTAAAATTTAAAAAAAAAGGACTGAATTATCCTTAATTAATATGCTATATTTGTGCCCTGGAAAATATCTTTGTTATTACGATTTTATAATTAATTCTAAATATAATTATAATTGATTTTAAACAAGGTGACAAAAAATTATCTGTCGAATTTTAAAGTTTTTTATACTTTTATCTCCATACAATTATAACTATTTCTTATTTTAGTTGTATATCGGTTGTATGTTAGTCGTAATAAAGTTATAATAAAGTCGTAAAAAATAAAAAAAATATATATTTCGGATTTTTTTAACCAAAAAGTGGTGTAAAAGTTAAATTTTTTTTGTGGTGTACCCGTGAAATTGCTGCGAGCCAATTGTGTCATTTGAATAAAATACTCCATATAAAATGTACTGGGTAAAAGAATTCACTAGCACCCTCATATTCCTGAATAATTTGAAATTAGACCCGTAAAAATAATTTTATCACAAATGCCTCATTTATTAGCTACTAGCACAAATTGCCCCGATTTTTGGTTCAATATTAAAACTTTTTATCCGTCGTCTCTAAAAAGTTGATATCAATCAACCATAAGTGAACAATCTAAACGAGAAACAACTCCCACCACAAAAACATAATGGAGAATTTCAGCAAATAATAGATCCAATGGAGATATCAATAAAAATGAAAACTTTGATGTGAAATTTATTTTATAAAGTTGGGATTATTCACAAACGTTGAAGGTGCTCGAGGTCAAAGGAAAACCTCTGCAAGAATTAGAAGGTTCCGGTTCAGAATAAACCGAAGATCAAATTGAAGATTGATATGGAGAAATCAAAGCTGATACAGGGTTAGTTAAACGGTGCGTTTAATACCGGCAAAAAAGAACGAACTGAAATTCTGTGTTGGTTGTTGCTCATTTGCTGGTTAAAAGGGATCTGAGTTCATCTTCTTCAGACTAATTTTTTACTTCTTTTGTAAAGGGGACGGTGCTCTTTCGATTTCTCATATTCTTTATGGGGTTTGTAAAGAGAGCGCATAAGCATAGTGAATTGCCGAGTTCTCCCTTGGCCGTGAGTAGGATCGAAGTGATCCGAACACGTTAATTCCTTCGTGTCTGTGTGTGAGTGCGAATCAAACAGCCCAAACCATTGCCATTAACGATCACGAGGTCAAGCAATAAGAAGTGGTATCAGAGCCTAGTTTAAGATAGAGAAATCTTCAATCGCGGCTGGAAGATCGACTGATCAAGGTTCTTTCTAAACAAGAAAGGAAGGTAAAGATCATTTTCTTCTGATTCAGGTTTGAATTTGGGAAATCAGACCATCAAGAGATCAGGCCGAACGAAAAACAAGGTGAAACGATGGCGACAACAAATGTGGTAAAACTAGACGTCGAAAAATATGATGGAAAAGGAGATTTCATCTCATGGAAGGACAAGATTCTCGCAAGTCTCGAGATTCTGGGATTGCATGATGTACTCAGTGAACATTACATAACCGGCGAACAAGGATCAAAAGAGGAGTTAAGGATTGAAGGAAAGAAGCCAGAGACATTTGAAGAAACTGAGATTGAATCAAAGAAGGAATCGGATCGTCAAAGAGAACTCACGTATGCTCTAAGTAGAAAAGTTCGAAATCTTATCTTTCTCTGCCTCACAGATCAGGTGATGAGAAAGGTGAAGTCAGAAACTACAGCAGCTGGTATTTGGAAGGCACTCGAGCAAGAGTTCATGCACAAAACCATGCCCAACAAAATGTATCTTAAGCAAAGTTTATATGGCTTTAAGATGGATGATCACAAGACGATGGAAGAAAACATTGATAACTTCATAAAGATGATATAAGATCTCAACAATCTTCAAATTGAGGTTCCAGAAGAAGACCAGGTAATGTACCTATTAAACTCTCTTCCTGATAAATATGAACAGCTGAAAGACACGCTTAAGTATTCAAGGAAAGAAGACATTACCTTAGAGGAATCATTTCTGCGACATACTCAAAGGAATTGGAGTATTACTCTAAAGGGAAACCACGGTTAGGGGAAGGATTGATGGTTAAAGGAAAAGCTGACAAAAGCAAGAAACAGAGACACAAGCCCAAAGGGACAAAACCACCACCACCTAAGGAAAAATCTGAGATAGGGTGCTAGTTTTGTGGAAAAGAGGGTCACTTCAAACGAGAATGTCGAAACAGGAAGAGATTCCTGGAACAACAAGGAGAGAACTCAGGGGAAGTAGTTGTTGTATCTGGAAAGGATTTAGAGTCGGAAGTTTTGGATGTGATAGACCGAGACTCATCTGAAAAATGGATTCTGGATTCCGGATGTACATTTCACATGTCTCCACATAGGGAATGGTTCGATGAACTACGGGAATCAACAGGAGAAAGAATATTGATGGGGAATAATGGAGCTTGTGAGATAAAAGGGATAGGAAGTATCAGTCTAAGGTTCCAGAATGGCAAAGTGAAAGTTTTAAATCAAGTAAGGTATATATCAGACTTAAAACGAAATATGATATCTTTAGGATCATTAAACAAACAAGGGTTCAGATACAACTCAGAAGAAGGAACATTAAAGGTGTTCAAGGCAAACTCTGAGGTTCTCACAGGAAAACTCGAGGGAGGATTGTATGTGTTGAATGGAGAAACACTCTCAGGGGAAATCTAAATTGCAGAAGCTGATGATCAGACTTTGATTTGGCATAGAAGGTTGGGACGCATGAGCAAGAAAGGACTACAAATTCTGACTCAGAAAGGAGTCTTGGACAAGAAAAAGTTAAGGACTTAGAATTTTGTAAAGACTGTTTGATAGGGAAGTCACACAAACAGAGTTTCCCAACAGGACGACATGTCTCAGAAAATATTCTGGACTATATGCAATCAGATCTATGGGATCGTCATATGTTCAGATCTCACTCAGTAAAGCCCAATACTTCATCTCTTTCATTGACGACAACTCACGAAAGGTCTGGATATATCCTCTAAGATCGAAGGATAAAGCTTTCTCAAGATTCAAAGAGTGGAAAACATTAGTTAAAACTCACACAGGTAGAAAGATGAAACACTTAAGGACAGATAATGGATTTTCTGCAACCACCAATTCGACCATTGCTGCAAGAAATGTGGAATAGCAAGACATCGAACTTGCATCTATACTCCCCAACAAAATGGATTGGCAGAGAGGACGAATCGGACCATAATAGATAAAGTGAGATGCTTGTTAAGTGATTATGGTTTAGGAGAAGAATTTTAGACAGAAACAGCAACAACAACGATCTATCTAATAAACCGTTCTCCCTCGAGTGCAATTGGATTCAACATACCAGAGGAAACATGGTATGGAAGGAAACCTGACGTATCAAATCTAAGGAGGTTTGACTCCCTAGTTTACGTTCATTCTAATCAAGGGACGCTCAAACCAAGAGCAAGGAAAGGTATATTCCTGATTATCCTCAAGGAGTTAAAGGCTACAGAGTATGGATGCTCGATGATAAGAAGGTAATCATAAGTAGAGATATAGTAGTCAAAGAGGACACAACATACAAAGACATTGCCAAAACCTTAGAGGAACCAGAAGAGAAAGGAATCTCTCAAAATGAGAGCGTCACGTTTGGAATTGCTGCTTATCCAAACCAGGAAACACATGAAACTAGAACAGAAGGTGGAGCTTTAAACCCAGGTGGAGCTCCTCGGGAACACACACCAGAAGAAACAAACAGTGATCAAGAATCAGATGATCGGGAACCATCAGATACAGAACATGGTCAACTTCAGCATTACCAACTAGCAAGGGATAGAGAGAGAAGGATTATTCAGCCACCTCAAAGATATAGAGAGGAACAGACAGTAGGCAAATCATTTGCCTTGACAGTGGCCAAAGACCTAAAACTTGACGAGCCAAGGTCATATCAGGAAGCCATACAGACAAAGGAAAAGCAGGAAT